GACGAGTCTAACCCCGGTTTTTTTCCCGTACATGGGACTGGATGGATGGACTGGGACTGGGTGCATGTACTGGGACTGGGGCTGGGGGGGCGTTGCGAAGGGGGGGAAGGGCGGGTCTATGTGGCTCACCCTCATGGGCTGATGTGGATTGGGCCGAATAATGCGTGTGTGGGTGTGTCGAGAGGGGAGGGGTTTGTCCACCGCCCTTCGCTTTCCCTTTCCCTTCCCCCCCCCCCGGACAACAACGGGGGTCCTGGAAGCTATAGAGTCTCCTCACTCCTTCTCTCTTGCCCACTCACTCACTTACTTACTTAGTTGTCTACTCACTCACCGACTCGTACCCTGCGTCTACTCACAGAGATAGCGTGACAACGATAGCGCGCACCGCCCCATCGACTGAACCAGCACTGCGCTACTTTTCGGCCCTTGGCATACATCAGCCGACCCATCCCATCCCCCTCACACCCTGGTCCGGTCACGTCTCCAAACTTTCTGCCCGTACCCACGCGCGCCGCACCAGCCCGTAAGCAATCATATAAGCCCGCCCCGGCGACATCAACCCGACCGACAACAATAACACTGCCGCTGTCGCTTGTCATCTTTCCTCCAACTTCTTCTTCCAACGCGCGCGAGCACCAATCTACCTCTTTTACCTTTATCGCGCCAACCTTTCTCCCTAGTCAACGAGGGCTATTGATTGCGCATTCCACCAACACATCTTCAGCATCGGTTAAGGAGACGTTTTTCCGAGGAAAAAAAATAAAATAAACCAACAACAAGCATAATCATGTCAAACCAAGGATACTACCAGGGCGGCCCTCAGCCTCAGTACCCGCAGCAAAGGTATGTTGTGTTCATCTATTCTTCTGCGCGCGCCACCCGTCTTCGCTGCGCTGCTGTCTGTGTAGCTGGCGCAATCCCGCCTCTTTGCGCCTACACACATACAAGAGCCGTAGGAGGATGAAGGCGTAATGGGAAATCAACACTGGAGTAGTGGCGAAATACTGACTGGATATAGCTACGGTCCCCCAGGCGCCAACTACGGTCCTCCTCCTCCTCAGCAACAAATGTACTACGGTCCTCCCCAGGGCCAACAGGCGCCACCGCCACCACCGCCTCAGAAGAAGGATAGGGGATGTTTGGCTGCTTGGTAAGTGTGGAATTCCCGCTTTTTTTTCTCCCTCAACACCCACGCGACAATGCATTTTCAAGTCGCGAGCGATTCAAGACCATGTAGCTAACGGGGAAAAAATAATAGTCTTGCCACCCTCTGCTGTTGTTTCCTCTGCGAGGAGAGCTGCGAATGCTGTCTGGATTGCTGCGAGTGCTGTGCAGAATGCTGCTAAAAAAAAGATTAATAATACGAAAAAAGCGACACGATGCCTCCTCTTCCTCATTCCCTCATGGACACCTTGCTTCGACAATCAAACGAACATCAATACTCGCCCGTCTCTGGATACCCTTGGTGGTAGCAAGGCCAAAATCGCCAGGGAAAAAAAAGGAGAAAAAAAAATATAAGGATACCAAGTGGGCGCTGTTTTGACTACCTTGTTCCTCGTTTCCAATGGTTTCCCAGTATCCAAACATCCATCTACTCGGTTGGTCGGGCCTTGGGGGGAGGCTAAGTGGCGAGAGCGAGGACAAGCGGTCCATGTTGTTTTTTTTTTGCTTGCGTTATTCCCACATTACATTTACGATTACACATTTGTGTTTATTCTTTATTGGCTTTTATTTTATTTTTATTTTTTTCCTTATCTCTCTGTCTGTCTCTTTTTTTTGGCTTGGCTTTGCTTTGCTTTGCTTTGTGCAAGGTGGCGAGCTGCATGTAGCTCGGGAAAGGGAAAGGCAAAGGCATAGGTTGGCATAGGATAGCATGGGAAGGCGGCAGGAGGGTTTGGGGGGGGATGGTGGTTTAAACCTGGCTAAGATACCTATTTAAGTTTTTTTTCTCTCTCTCTCTTTCTTTTTTTTAGCTTCATACCAAGTCTAAGTAACTTTTGAATCTTCCTACTACTACTACTACTACTACTACTACTACTACTATCACTACTTCCTACTTCTACTTTCGCTTTTTTGTCCTAATTTGATAACCCCCTTCTCTTTTTTTTCTTTTTCTTTTTTTTTCCCACCCTCTTGATTTCTCTCCCTCTCCCCTCTCCCCCCTCCTCCTTACCTCCTCCTCTCTTGATACCTTTACATATCGCACTCTTCATTCCGTTTATATAGTAATGCTACTGTTACATATTATCCTTGTCTTGTACATGGCTATTTTCTTTTTTTAAAAAAAAAATAAAAATAAAAATAAAAAAAACATAATTGGTTATCATGTGTGTGTATGACTTGGTTGGTGTTGGTGGGATATTGTCTAGGGATGAAGGTGGCGTGTGAGGGTATAAAAGAGAGAGAGAGAGAGAGAAAAAAAGAAAGAGAGAGAGAGAGAGAGAAGAACAAGAGAAGGGGGGGACTTACTCTTCCTATACGTGCTCATGACTTGGGGAAATTCAAGGTACATGTGAAAATGGCATAACGTATGTGGCAAGCGAGCGCCGCAGGTAAGCGAGCGCCGCACCCCACCAAACCTGCGCACCTCTCCTATCTCAACGAACAATGGCTCAACGTAGCGCTACTTAATTAGCTTTAAATGAAGCAGATATTTAGCTTGCTATTTCTTCTATTAATCTTTATCAAACATAAAGTAATCGTCGCGCTGCTGCTGTCTACAACGTGTCTAAACGAACAATCCGCCGCCGACGCGCTGGTATACCTGCTCAACGCGATTGCCAGCCTAACTCAAAGAAGCTCACTAAGCTAGAAGAGGAGGTGATAGTTGATCATATACTTGATCT